TGCAAAAAGCTAGCAATAAAAGATATATGCAGCTTACAACTGCATTTGGGAAAAACATCTGGAACTTATTATTTTTTGCTTTCAAAGTTAGGATGAAAAAACATGGATGTGTATGTAAACCTAAAATCAGAATGTGTGTCTGTCATTCTTAGCTGCTCTTGAAAATAAACTGCATCCCTTGAGAAATTCTCTCAGGTGGGCAGCCCTGCACCAACTCCTGTTTAATATGGCACATTCATTTGGGTAACTTTATGGCGGAATAAGATTTCTCCACCTGAGCACAGAAATGTTTGTCAAATGCCAGCTGTCTGTATATGATGATAGGAACTATTTTTCGGATAAGCCTTGCCACCACAATTCTGATTAGAATATAAACCTAGAGTTTACATTTTTGACTTGATCAGCAAGCAGGTATGAATAAGAAAGAATGCTAACAAGCCATCTGAATACAATTTCCACCATTATTACCTCCAATGGGATCATGTTGTGGCTATTTCCACAAAATTACAAACTGATTCTAATTCGTTTAACTTTAATCTCATTATTGACAACTTAAACTTTGGACTGGGGAAAAACATGCCGTTAAAAGAGTCCTGTTTTAAAACAAAAGCTGAGATCAAACAATTCTATTCATCCTACTGGCTAATTTTGCAGAAGTGCTTAATCTTGCTGGGAAAAGCAGTGGCAGTTATGGGGTGTGTGGTGGGTGCTGAGCATGGCAGGTCCTCCTTTTCCTCTGGAATAGCTTCCCATGGAAAGTGATATTAGTTCAACTTTAGCTGTCTTCCCAAAGCAATTGACGCTCTAGCTGAGAGTATTGGGGACTTGAACCCTTTTCTGGATTGTCTGCTTCATTCTCCCTTCTATTGTTGCGGAAATGAAGCTTAATGGGGAATATTACTGTATATTAATAAAACAACTCACTGAATAAGAGAAGAAAGTCAGTCTAGGGTTGGAAGGACCTTGGAGTTCTTCTAGTCCAACCCCCTGCTCAAGCGGGAGACCCCAGACCCTTCATCATTTCAGACTAGTGGTTGTCCAATCTCTTCTTAAAAATGTCCAGTGATGAAGCATTCTTCTGATGGCCCATTTGAAGTATATATGCCTATGACTACTAGTTCTACTTCCAGGGAGTTTATTGGGCTCTCCAACCTACCAAACTTTTTTTTTCTTCAAGATGTTTGAAAAATAGCTAAATAGGCCTATATCATATTCCAAAATCAAGAACCAATCTGTGGTATCAACTTCATTTACAAATGCTTTTGAGCACCAGAAACAGGAGTGAGAGTGAATCTAAAGAGCATGATCTGTGTGAGTTTATATTGAGACTCTACCTCTCCATTCTACTATTGTTCTGGCTGTTTGAAACACATCCATGATGGAGGCTCTTTTGTGAGGACACCCTAACAAGTTGTACAAATTCCAAATGTGCCAATTGCCTATGTTATAGCTGAAGGAATTCCAGTACAGTGATATGTTGGTACTCAACTGTTTTGAAACTCATCGGATTTGAGGCTCAATGCATTTTGTAAACATTTTGTCCCAATTCTCATCATATGTACTAGAACTTGTGCAGTCTTGACTGCCTTGTGACTCATTACATTATTCCTTATAGGAGAAATTTGTTTGGTATTCATTGTTTTTGGTACTTCTCACACTTCCTGGAACCAATTAATGATGGGTACTGAAGTACCACTATAGTTCTCAAAACCATTTTTTCCTGTTGAACACAGTTGTTTGATTCCCATCAATCTCTGCTCAGCTACTTACTTCTCTTTAGGTAAATAATTGTGCATAGACTGACCATGGACTGAACTAATTTTTCAGTTTGTTCCTCATAGTTGTAGAAAATTATTCGTAGATTGGGCAATCCTATTATAGTATTCTTAATTTATATTGCAGAATCTTGCTCTGAGTTGCCAGAACTATAAAATGAAAGGAGGAATTGTAAATTCGCAGTTCCCACTTCGGTGTGATTTGAAATTAATCATCTCATGCTGAAAACAGATCTTTGAAATGTATAAAATGTGTTCCTTTTTTATTATTGCCTAGAAATATCTGGGATTCAATTATTGCTTTATGACTGGGCTTCTTGGAGCCAAGTTGCCAACCCATCATGTAATGTCCCTCTTGCCTGACCTATACTTCCCCCTTGCCCTCTCCTCCAACTAAAATGGTCAGAGGGGGCAGAGGTTGACCTCTCTGTGAAAATCCAGGAGGGCAGTTGACACAAAGCAGCCCTCAAACTTGTCCTAATGCAAGTGATAAGCTCATGTAAGCCTATAAGTTACTTTCGTTTGGATTAGTTTATTTTGTAATCTATTTAGAAGTAGATTCTTGTCCATAATTGGAATATTTTACTGAAATATTCTTAATAAGCATGCAAAGTCAGAGGTTGTCATATGTGGAAAGATTTATTTTGAAATGTTATTTAATGGATAAATAATTTCACTAATCAACAAACCAGTTCATTTCTTCCAGAATGTTAATTTCCACTAAAGCCAATGATCTTGAAGCAAACAAAAGCTTAGCTGAAAGTTTTTAAAAAATGCTGTAAGTCTCCAACTTAGCAACTGATTACTTAGCCTGGTGAGTTTTTATCCATAGATATTTCAGCTTAATTCTTATGCAGGTTTCTTTGTGAGGAAGTGTCAGTCTTACAAGATAGACAGAAAACATCGACCAGAGAGCTAATTCTACTTTATTGCAAGGTTGCCTTAATCGAATCTTGCAGATCTGAGGGCATCTCCCAACCTTTTACAGGCCTGGACCGAGGGAGGAAGGTATCTTCTGAGTCTCTTGCACTGCAAGAATTTCTCAGTTGCTCCTTTAGTTCTGCCTCTGTTGCCCTGTCTCTCAAGGCCATTCCCACATATCATTACTGGAAGGGGTCATTATATAGCTATGGCAATTTGTGCTGTAGTATCTCAAATTGCAAACTGAAATGGATCTACTATTTAAAAAGCTGATTACTTTATCCTCTATGGAGAACCTCATATGAACAAATTGCCACATCAAAACAACAGCATTCAGCCATGCTTTTATGGAGCTACTGTTATGCAAATAGCATACGTGAATTCACACATTCAAACTTTCATGACAAGGTCTTCATGGCAATGTTCCAAACAATTCAACCAATAGTGTTTAATAATTCTCTAATAATAACAGGAAGGGCTGAACAATTTCCACTAGAACAGACCATCAGAGCTGGCTGGAAATTTGAAATATCCTAAAGCTGATAATTTTTCATACACATAAAAATTCCTGATTATTCCATATTACGATATATGGAGAAAGAGAAAATATGGTTCTTTCCAATTTTCATTTATTGTAAAAAAATATGCTTAGCTATCTTATGAAATTTTATTTTGTCAAAATATTTTTTTATTTATTAAATTATTATCATCTCCCTGGGAGTCTGGGAGTAGTAAATGGTTTGCAACACACTGTGCTTTAGAAATACTTTTCACATTTCTCAATGACAGAACCATGTTAGTAAGAGCTGCAGCAACTTGGAGTAATCTTGCTTAAGAAATAGAGAAGACAAAATCAGCCTCCCCCAATGATTCTACTGACAAGGAACAGCAGAGGAACAAAGCAAAGTGGAATAAGATGGAAGGGCGTGGGATTATACGTCTCTTACAATCCTTCTAACCTCTTAATTAAACTTGCCTAAATTGTGCCCACAATTTGCGAATTTACTGATCCTGAATATTTTTCTGCAATAACTCTTATGACTAAAATAGCAGTTTTCTGCTTATTATCCTGATTAAAGGAGCAAAGAGGTGCCATAACAAATGATCTTTAAAATGATACATAATTGATAGTAAATACCAGGTGTCATTAAATCTAAAATATGTCTTTAGATAGAGAACAAGGTGAAGAATATAAGGGCCATATTGGCAGCATCAGTAAAAAAATTCCGGCTTTGGAAAGGAAGTCTTGGAGAACTATGCTTAACGAACCCTTGAACAAGAATCCATATGGGCAGGAATCCATATGAAAGCATGCATGACAGAGTCTTGTCCATTTTGTTTGAATACTTCAGTGAAAGAAAATTTGCTTTTCTATAAATTAATCCCTTATTGCTACTTTGACATGACAGAGAATGGTTTCACTTTCCTCATGTGAGGTCCATTCAGATATTGGAAGACTACTGTCACAGTGTCACATCCTCCCTGAATCTTCTCAAGACTAGACATTCTAATTCCTTTGATCTCTTCTCATGGGACTTAATATCTAGTCCCCTGATCCTATTCCTTGGCCATTTCTAAGTCTCTTCCATGCAGCCTGAATTCTTCCAAAAGCCTAGTGTGTCTAGAACTTAACATGGTATTTGGGATCTGGTCAATGGAAATAAAATGGAGCAACTTTTTTCATAATTTTAAAACTATACTTCTGTTACAATATGTATAACATCACATTTGCCTTTTCTGAAGCAATGACACATTGCAGACACTTAGCTTGTTATTAATAAAATGTTTTTCAGAAGGATTATTACTAGGCCAGACATCCCTTGTTGCACATTATACATTTTGTTTGTATTTCTCTTGTTGAGTTTCAGTCAGCCAAACAGCTAAAGCGGCGTCTATATTATATTCCTGAGATGCACAAAACAAGAAGTCTAACATATTTTTTTAGAAGAAATATTTGTACTGACATACTTCTTTGATTTAATTCATAGCTCTGGGCTTTATTTCATCCAAGGATTTTGATCAGAAAAGTATACAATTAAAACATTGGCTTAAATGGAACTCCTACAACTGGATACTTATGAAGTAAAATTGGTAATTGTGTTTCCTTTTCATATCCTATTTTTCTCTGACCTGTATGATATCCATTAACTAGCACTGCAGATCACCAACTACTTACATAAATTATAATTAATGTTATAATGACTTTGGGCAAAATCTATGTAAATCCTGATTAATGTAGCATTTGACATTGTCTGTAAAATAATCAACCAAATGGTTACACCAATAAGCATTGTTTGGTCTTACCTTAAACTCCTCTAGGATTTTGTAACTTTTCCCATGGTATTCACAAAAGTTCTTCACTTCTTTGCATTCTGGACAGCATCCATTGTGTTCTACTTTAGTACACTTTGGGTGGATTTTGGGGCACTCTGGTTGATCACAAATAGGCCCATCCTCGGTACAAACACACGGACAGTTGGAGTGGCCAGGGAAAAAACGCTCCCCAAGTTTGTATACAAAACCACTGTCATCTACACATCCTTTCCCCCGATAGTCATCAAAAATCAGATTATTATCATTATTTGAAACCTGATCACCTTCATCTGCAGGGTAGTCTTCATGATTGAAAGCAGCTGGAGTGACCAAAGAAGGAATTAGCAACAGAAATAGGCAGGCTTCATGAATATGAAGAGCCATTCCCCCTCCTGAGCTTCTGAGAATGGTCCTTATATCAGATATGTATGGATGCTTCCATGGAGAGGCCAATGTGGTGCACTGAAAACATATATAAAAAAGAAATTGAATTTCCTCCCAAAAAACACATTTTCCCCTACTCCTTTGTGACCCTTCCATCAGCCAGTCTTTAGCTCATTAGAAACCCTGCCTCCTATCAACTCTGAAGAAAGCAAAGTAAACCAATTTTTCCATCCTGTCTGCACTAATAACCAACAGGAAAACATGCACATAACCCCAATAGCCTTCAAGTTGCACAGGCTCTTTTCTGTTGCAAGGAATGGTTGATTCGTCTTCATTTCAATGGCCTTTGTGCCCTGTGCATTTCAATATTTTAGTTTAAAAGCAAAATAGAACAATATGCTCACCAAATTAAAGCAATAATGCAAAAAAAAAATTCCCTTGCCATATTTTTGATTCAAGCTTTTCTTCATATGACACATTGTTGTAAATAGAAAAGTATGAGAAAATGTTATTCACATTCGTTTGTTAAATAAGATGAAAATAAGTTGCTGCATCTTTATATTAGCCAGGTTCTTATCTATTTACCATGTTAAATATTTAAATTGTAAACAACTGCAAATCAAACTTATTTTATTGGATGACTTGCAACATTTATTACTTCCAGATGTAGTTCTTTTTGTTTTGCTAAATTGCTATAAACGATTCCTTCAAGGATGGGACTAAGAGCAAATATATGGATTCCAACCCAGGTCAAGCGTCCAACATCATTCAAAATATGTGTTTTTGTGAAAAATAAAATTAAAAGAGCCTTTGCATTTTAAAGAGCCTTTACAATCAAATTATATTTAAGAAAGTAGGAAGTTTAATCATTTAAGATTGTAGAATTTTGACACTGTATACTGTAATCTGCCCTTAAAACTGGTTCACGCTGGCTTTTTCTCAGCAAGACCTCCATTGTGCTCTCCAGGAGATCAACGTCACATCAAGATCCAGTAGTAGTGGCCCATATATATATCTGTGCTTATACTTGTATCTACCAGTTTATTTTTCTCCTGCTTTTACATTTTCTGTCTCTTTTTTAGGTTTCAGAAATGGCATTTCAGCAAATTGTCACAAATGTGATACCTTACTCACCATATGCAGTTCAAAGCCAGTAGGTGTACAGAATTTCTCAGTAGGCCATGTCACTTCCTTTTCTTACCCATCCATATGTGCATGGAGAACCCATAATTCACACCACATGCTTAATTTGAAATTGCAGAAAACCTTGCTGCTTTCTTAGACATTACTTCTATTCTCCTGTTTTCCTATTGATAATGCACCCCACACATTGGTACATTGCTCTTACTCTGGTATAGTTCCTCCAACCAAAGATTTGAAGATATGATAGGATTTCCTCAATTTTATGAATTTTGACAGTAAAATATCTTATAATGAAATAATTTCTAATGCAATTTATAATAAAATGCTCTAGTGTCAAGTGATATTTTGACTAATTGCATATAAAACATGCAACTGCAAATTAAACAATAGCCTTGTCTATTGTGCTTGTCTGATACTATGGAGTCAAATGGGTTAGTAATTAATATTATACCAGTGTGCAGATTCCAAGCAATAGAATGATGGTTCTCATAGAAATAAATTCAAAATGTATGCACATTATTTATATATTTATATTGATGTATATATTATTTCACTGCCCAACAGAAATGACTCAGAGAATGGGCAATCTTTGTATCTTGCAGAACTAGTAAAATAATTTGGTTGACAAAGTAGGCTCTTAAAATGCTTCTATAAAGAAAGACTGTGTATTTCAAAAGCTTGCTGTCTCATTGCTTATGCTCTAGGATATGATTTTACTACAATGGTAAATTTTACTGCAATTATGGGAGCCTTTCTAACAATCACAGTGTTTGATTTCTGGATGACATAAAACTGTTTAGTTTGCCTTTCAGATCTGAATAGACAGTTACTTGCATTCTACAGGTAGGCTTCAGTCTGCCATACTTAAAGCTGAGGAAACTTAATTTTTTAGCAAATCCAAAAGAAGCTATTTATTTTAGGGACACCAGGATTCAATCAATTTTGTCAGGCATTTGGGCAAAAGCAAAGCCCGTTTCAGAAAGTGGTACAAGATTTCACTGCAGTAGTTAATCATCCTAAATATTTTGCTTACAATTTGTAAACCTTTCAACGTTTTTGATACAGAGAAAAAATGGAATGATAATGAAGTCCCTTGGTTTGGAATCAAACCAAAAACATATATTATTTACATTTCTTTTGTTTCTGATAGGAGATATTAAGGTACTATTAAATATTTGAGAAAGCAACATCCTTTTCTCTTAAAAATGGGCACTTACCTAGAGTGAATGGTAGGAAGAATCACAAACCACAATGGATTTTCACTTCAGCAGTATAGTAGAAAAAAAAACCCTCTTCTTAATTATATTGGTAAGGGAGAATTATGAAAAAAACATTTTGTTCTAAAGCCTCCCATGTCACAGAAGAACATCAGCAAATACCCAAGAGATGTAAGCTTTAGCCAACTGTTCAAAATTCAAAGCCATCCGTCATAAGAGGATCCAAGGATGAGACTGCTTCATACAAAATAAGAGTCCAGAACAAAATAATAAAAACAAAAAATAAAAGAATCATCCTTCTAGTATTTTTAAACATCTGTTTCCTTGGTTGCAGTCTTCAGGTCCATCAAAAAATAAAATTTTTAAAAAAATCCCTCTAAATGACTATTTTCTGTATATCAGCAGAAAGGCACAGAAGGGTGGAGGAGACGCTATGCTTCCAGTTCCAGAAGCAGCACCAACATGCTAGAGCTCAGAGCCAATCCAGACTGAAATGCAGTCAGCAGCAGCAGCATCACCGGGCTATGCTGCTTTCTAGAAGCTCGTCCCCAGATAAAGCAATGGGGACCTTGTGGCTCTTAATCACAACAACAACTTTCAGCAATATTCAGTATCCTGGATAGCATCAGCCCAGCAGCTCTTCCTCCCGAGGGCTTCCCATCCAGCAGCCGGGGATCTTCAGCACCACGGACAGCAGCCCCTGACTCTCACTTCGCATCATGCAGGCAGAACGTGCCGCTCCTCCTCTCCCCCCCACCACACACACACGACCCTCCCTCCCTCCCAGCCGATGCATTGGCTCATCGGCGTTAGATTTATCCTGAGGCTCCTTTCTTCTCAAGGAAAAGGTATTTCATAAAACGCCTCCTAAACGTTACCCGATGATCACCTTCATTAAAAAAAAATTCTGCTTATTTCCAAGGCACTGGGACCAGACTGCAGGGCTACGTTACAGGAAGTGGAAGTAGGTAGACTGGAGCTCTCTGCATTTACGGAACGATTTGGCAAAGGTAACAACCGAGGCATCGGTCTGATTATTGCCTTGCTAATGCAGAATTCTCCCCCCCCCCCCGCCCCGAAAATTACTACATTTGCTACGTGTGAGTCTCAGTGTGTTTGTACATGCATGTGTATTCTATGGTAAAATATTAAGCTTCCCCCCCCCCAAAAAAAAAACCCCCAAATTTCTTTGCAGAAACTGTAGTAAACTAAACATTTTATTATTTTCACAAAACGAGACAGTCAGTTGTAGCTTTTACTATAATAACTTGAAAAGGGGTGGGGTAGGGGGTTCTCTGCAGTTCATGTTTTCTGTCACTAGATGTCAATATAGAGCTACCGGTATTTCTCCAGGAAAATGGGAAATTGTATATATTTGAATACATATTTAAAGCCATGACGAAAGATACAAGAAAAATAAAAGTTTGGAATATTGTTTCTATTTAAGTAAAATATAGAGATTTTACTTAATGTAGTATCTAATTGTTTCTTTCAGATGTTTCTTTCAGATTAGGCCACCTCCAGGGCTAGGAGATTTTTCTAAACAGCCGTCTCAATTCCAAATACGAATAGTGCCATCAGAACCACCTGAAATTAGATGTTCTGCCATATGATCAAATATTACACTCTGAACTTTATCTTCATGGCCCACTAAGCTGGAAAGATGTCCCGATTTGAGTTCCAAAGTCTTCACGGTTCCATCATTGCTTGCAACAGCCACAATATGACCTGTAATATAAAGTAGAAAGGTGTGATATGTGTGATATGCTGTTGTTCAGTTGCTAAGTTGTGTCCGACTTTTCGTGACCCCATGGAGTATAGCATGCCAGCCCCCCCCCCCCCCCGCCACGTCCTCCATTGTCTCCCTGAGTCTCCATAACCTCCTGCTCAATATAGTTCCTGTGCTCCCCTGGGAAGCCACCAGAGCCCAGCTGAAGTTTCAAGGGAAAGTATTGGCTCCAACAGCTGAATCCTTGCTTTTCAAAGGTTTCTGGTGAAAATTCTAATAATTATCTCGAGAGACGGGGGTCGATTCTAGGGGCGGTGCTCCCCTCTGTTTCTAAGCTGAAGAGCCAGTGCTGTCTTATGGCAATTCCGTGGCCACGTGGCTGGCATGACTAAACGCTGAAGGTGCACGGAACGGCTACCTTCCCATCAAAGGTGGTTCCTATTTTTCCTCTTGTATTTTACATGCTTTCAAACTGCTATGTTGGCATTTCTGGTATGACTGAAATTAGAGTTTCTGTCTATAGTATGCCATTTGATATTCATATCTGGTGACCTCCTTGGCTAAGCTGTTATCTGTTGCTTTATTATTTCTCAGTGCTTTTCCTTATGTTTAATTTTTCTTATTTCTGAATGATATTTCTTGATCAAATATTCTTTGATCTTCTTGCTTTCCAGCTTCTTTTCTCTCATCTATTATAGCTTGTTTGCACCTGTTATCCGCTTGCTGATCTTATTTGCCAGCCTGGTCTTCCATTTTGGTGGTAACTGTTGGGTTCTTCTTCTTTGCTAGAGCATATTCAGTTATAACTGCAGATGTGCTGTACATCAATTGATTCGTTTACTTCAGTGAGCTGGTGTTTATATTTGATATTACAATATTGGCATCTTTTAATAGTCCTGCTAACTGCTTCTCTAGAACAAACTTCAATGAAAGCAACCTTATTCTGTGGTTTTTGTGCTGTTCTGTGTGCTCAGCTATTCTTTGTTTCAATTTTTCTTATTTAGTTAGAAGGCTTTGCTCTTTCTTAGGTGAAGGCAAGGCAGAGGGTACCTGGCTTGGGAATGAAAACGATTCACTATCTGTGCCGACCTCCTCTATTGCTGCTTCTACAATCTGAACTACTTCGACAAGACTTTGATTTCTTTGCCTTATTCTTCCAATTCTACTTCTGTGAATACTTTAATTTGCATTATAAGTTGACATTACACAACGGGATGAGTTTTCATCCTAGCTTTAGTTCCTGCCAAAGTAGCATTTTGAAAACATGCAAATGCAAACAGATAAATAGGTACCACTTTGGTGGGAAGGTAAGAGCACTCTGTAATGTCATGCTTGCCACATGACTAGGAAAATGTCTTTGGACAGCACTGGCTCAATGGTCCTTGAAATGGAAATGAGCACTGCCCTCTATAATCAGCAACAACTTGCAGAGTAAAAATCCACAAGGACTCTCCATTTGTGTTTTTAGAGAGAACTCTGGATTGATTTGTTCAATGATCCCTTGCTTTGTTTTCTCCACTGTCCTTCAAATTCTCAGGAGTTTTCTCCTACATTGAAGTTCAAAAGTTCTTTCTCTCCTGCTTCTTCAAAATCCAACGTTCACTTCAAAAGTGTTATAGGGATTTCCACTAGTTTGTCACAACATTTGAACATCTTTCCCAAGGCTAGGATGGAACTCCAAAGAATATTGCAGTAATCATGATATATGATGTAAAGTATGATGTAAAAATTACTGCAAACAACTTATGCAGAGATTTGATGAACTTTCCTGGTTGTTTTAAAAATGTAACTAATTAACATGAAATAACAATATCACCAGCAATAGAAAACAAGCTTTGGTAATGTTCACTTTATTTGGTTTATTGTAGCCTTCCCATAAATTATGCTGGAATTAAGTTAATTAATAATGGTTGCCTTGAATTTATTCTAAAGGTTCAGTGATAGGATCTAATAAACTTTAAAACAGATCTGTAGAAACCCAAGGTCAGCATCTCAGATTGTTGGGAAGCTAAACAAGACGGAATCTGACTCTCTGTATCCTTTAAAGTATTTGAATCAAGTGAAATAGTTTTTTGTGGTGAATTACTAGGTCACAAGATTGCCTTAGATGAGTTTCAACTGGAACTAACATTATCTGTCTTTTGGGATTTTGGACTCATCCACTGGTGCAATAAATGTTTTTGGCAAAATAATCCAACATTTCTATAACAGGTTCTTTAGATAGATGTTGTTGAAAGCAATCTCAACATCCAGCAGTGAACTGGTGCAAGGTAAAATAATAATTTCCTTACAGTTAATAAAAAGTAATAACAAGAAAATATAAACATCACTGACAAACCCAACCCTGATAAACCTGCTCAGGGGGAGGGTGTGTCAATATTCCTTCCAACCCATTCCTATTCTTTATAGGAGGATTACTGAGGATGCTTTTAAAAGAATATGCTCATTGAAATTTTTAATGTTATTCCCTTCCGATCCCCATTTCAGGGGTTTTCTTCTTATCAGCAATTAATGGCATGTATGCTGCTTGGGCCCAGACCAGTGGTGGGTTCTGGATCCCGTTGCAACCACTACACTGTGACGGGGCCGGGTGACCACCTTGGGCATATGTGCTGCGCACATATGCGCACCCATTGTCCTGCGATGCTCCAGCTGCTCTGCAGAGGTCGCACAGGTGCCGTACACTGC